TCGCTCCGTGCAGATAAGCGTAAGCGACCAGTTTCGAAAGGGTCATTTGTCTAATTGTTCACTAATGGTCTGTCGTGATAGGCCGCCAAAAGGTTGTGTTGCGTCTATGAATCTATGGAAAACATTTCAAACGGTAATACAAAATAATGTTTTATTTTTTTAAAGGAATACCTACCATCTTTTAAGAAACAACAGTATATCGGACAAGTTCGGAAAAGACAAGTAGTAAAATTAATCATTTTGTACAACCTACTTCAATACAAATAAAATGATCATTTATTTGTTTGTTACAGTGATAATCATGGAATAAAATGATCATGATTATCACTGTAACAAACGCCTATTTTGAGGGCCATGAGAAAACCTATTATTTGAAATGAATTAAAATATTGGACAAATGGTGGACTACATGTATTGTCAAAAGGAGACTAAGTGGAGAAATAAAACGCATTTTTTTCTTCAAAAAATTTTTTTGACAAAAATCACTGACTTATCAAACTGTCCTGGTATTTAGAATAGGACCGTTGAATACGTTATTTATGTCTTGATAGAGGATATTTAAGTACAATGTTAATATACATTAAGAATTTTGAAAACTTTACATGTGGTAAGGCAAAGTTGCAGCTTGCAATAGCTGTGGCACGAATGGATCGACTGGCTCAGTCGAAGAAGGACCACGTTCTCACAGAACACTAGTGTAAAATAGCAACATAATGCAAACCTATTTTAACCTTCAAAATAAAAAAAAAACAAGCACACTGTATGTGGAGTATGGATAGATGGTTAGTGGATGATCTGGCCCAGACACCTACATTTATCGATTAAGATATTAAGAATGTAGATATGTTATTAATGCTTGGCGACAAAGAAGAAATCTTTCGATACCAGTTGAAAGTATATTCAGTCCTCGTTACGGACCATACGATAGCTGCATTAAACTGCTATTTCACACTAATATTCTGTATGAAGATGGTCCTTGCCCGATCGAGTCGACCTATTCGTGTTGCAGCATTAATACAGCCGCAGCAATGATCTTATAGGAAAACTATAAGATCATTGACCGCAGCGTAGCTCTATCACGTATCATAATTTCATGTGTCCATCCTTATTTAAAAAAAAAAACGAAACATAATGAAATAATATACTATCGTGTATTTAATAATTTTTGTCGTCGCAAGATATATAGAGTAAGATAGATAAGTGACTATGTATATATGTATATATTATATACATATCTATTATCACTTCTGAGAAATACGACGGAATGTCCTGTTGTACATCATCGCAAACATAATAATATTATGTTTGTTTTACCTTTATATTAGGTGCTTAATTCTTATTGAATCTATAAAATAAAATTAAATAGTCCGTTTGTTACGTCAAAATAACAGTTTTTAACTAAATGCAGTATATATACGGTACGGCACTAAAAAGTATATATATTATACGGTATTTTTAACAAAAACACAAATTTTAAATTTTTTGTTTCTGTCTGTATGTTTGTTCCGGCTAATCTCCGAATTGGCTGGACCGATTTTAATGAACTTTCACAGACAGATAGCTGATGTTTTTAGTATAAGGAATAACTTAGGCTACTCTAATTTTGGAAAAAGTATTAGGGTTCGGCGCAAAAAAAAACCTAAATTACACGCGAGCGAACTGGCACCTAGTACCCAAGCTAGTACAAAATATGTTTTCCTTGTCTACCCTTATATATTACCACTCTTGTTCCTAAAGCTGTTTACCGTAAAGTTGCTTTAATAAAGTAGTTTCTATTTGATCTACAGAATGCCAGCGTAAGCAACCCAGTGTTGCTGTGTTTCGTATGGTAGAGATCTGGAGACCCTTTTTACTGAAAACAAGGCATTCTATCTTAGTTCTCATTCTCAGGGGGTGACAGCGTATCCGCGATTGATTCTTACTTGAGGATAGATGTAAATATCTACGGGCCACAGCATCCACTTACCATCAAGTGGACTGTGTGCTCGTTTGTCACCCTTATTCTATAAAAAAATCAGTTTTAGTTTCCTTGTTAAATATGTTAATAATGCAACATAAAGTTTACGTCAACGCAACAAAGTATCGAAAAAGATCCTTACCGGCCTCATTTGAACTAACACAATAAGCAGTTCAAACGCTTTTAATCTACGTCGGAACTCGTTGACTTGCAAGTACTTATAAAATTTCTAAGTGAATGGTGCTCATGAAGCTATAGACAATGCATTGTTATAAGGTCGTAACAACAGGGATAATATTTCAAGTGAATCGTTAATGCGTATCACGAAATATATAACTTGGATTGAGTTAAAGTAACAGCCTATACCTCTAACAGCTGGACATAGACCTCCTTTCTTCCTCAGACGTAGGTTTCCTCGCGATGATTTTCTCCACCGGCAAGCACGTAGCAAATCATAAATTAAAATTGCAATTAACATCGAAGACGAGTTCCTCGCGTAGTGTGAAAATTATGGCGCGCACTTAGCCCTGGAGCCAAGAGCTACCGCGGCTCGGATTATATTAGATACTGATAATTTTATAAATATAAAACACTAGCTGTACCCCGCGATTTCGCCCGCGTATATCACGCGTCTCTACCGTGCGACATGATATGACACCTCGCTCATTTAGTTCAATCATTTTAGCTAAAAAATTAACAAAATTAACGGAGTACTTTTATCTGTCGGCATATACACGTTATACAGAAAATTTAAATTTTATCCACTCGCCCTCCCCCCCTATAATTTAGCTTTCTATTGGTAAAAATTGATTAAAATCGGTCCAGTAGTTTGGGACTTATTTGGTACAAACAAACTAACAAAAAAGTCTTTCCTCTTTATAATATTATAGTATAGACAATGATTTTTTTATTATCTTTTTGTTCTTTTTTAATATGTGATTATTTTATTTTTATTTCTAATATCACACCCCAGTGACACCCGCATCGCATGGTACTGGCAGTGTACGAGATATAAGGATTTTTCGACGTTACTATTGAATATTTTAACATGGAAAAGTAGTTATTGTGAGATAACTATAATAGTTAGACATATGGTATTGCAGACTTTTATGTAGATATTGATGTCCTCCATAAAACTGTAGCACATCACTTTGCTCTATTGTCAATAGTTTCCGCAGCGTACGCGATATAAGGTTTTTTTTTGGTATTTTTTTTCACACTTTGGGTTACATTAACGAAGTTTTCATACGGATCCCTAAATTTTTTGAAAACGTTCTATAGCCTATGTTCATCAGGAATAATGTAGGATTCTAATGGTGAAAGAATTTTTCAAATCGGTTCAGTAGTTTCAGAGCCTATTCAATTCAAACAAACAAACAAACAAATCTTTCCTCTTTATAATATTAGTGTAGATGTATAAAGTTTACTTTATACATGTTAGTACAAAATAACAAATATAATTTACCGTGTAATGGCGTTAAAAGAATATCCAATACTTATCCCTACTCCAAATCATCATATAGGTTTTTAAGAGGCGACAGAGGGAAACAAAAAAATCGGCAGCAGTGTCTTCCTAATAACGACTAAAAATTAATAACTGCACTTGCCAACCCACTTTCCAAGCGTGCCAACTAATGACAATATATGGGGGAGATCTATGTTCAGGCTGTAACGATAAATATACCTTACTGGCTGGTGTAGCAGATGTTGTTCTGTCTATTCCGGTAGATGGCGCGTTGAGTTTCACTCCGAGATATCTTTGGACTTTTTACAGTGTAAATATGAAATTTATTATAGGTTAAACTTTGTGGTATTCTTTTTTATTATCCCGCTCGTAAAGAACGGCAAAGGGAAATGAAATAGGAGATTGGCAGATAAATATTTCCGCAGTCCGCCTGCCTACCGTGGCAACTATAGGACTTATCCCCCTATGAGGCAATATATGGAGAAGGCCTATTTTTAGCAGTGGACTTTAAATAGGCTTTAACGAATGAATGAAAAAGACTACAAGTTGAATTACGAGACTTATTTATTAAGTTGAGTAGTTTAACATAAAAAGTTTATAAACAATTATATTTTTTTAATAAAGGATCGGAATAATTTACCGGTGTCCGTCTGTTGTTCTGTACGTATACAATCTGGGTGTCTTCAAGGCAAGAGTGAAGAGGCTTTTGTCGCGCTAAGAACGTGAGAATTACTATCTAGGGCTTCATGTCACAGCTGTCCACCAGTTAGTATTATAGTCAAGCACTGACTTTAATAATTTTTTTATAGAATAATGGTACACAACCACTCGATGGCAAGTGGATGCTGTGGCTCATAGACATCGACATTTTATCTTAAGTTTAGATTAAGATTAAGAATCAAAATGCAGATGAGTTGCCACCCCTGAGGACTAAGATGGAGTGTCTCGTTCCCAGTAAAAAGGGGCTCCGATTCTCTACAATCACGAGACACAGCAGCATTAAGCTGTTATTTTACACTTTCATCATGAAAATTTCTTCAAGTTGGAAAAAGTTATCAATTTCGAGATAAACAAAAAACTAAATACATATAAACATAATAATAATGTCCTCCAGACCGAATTTCGGCCCCAGGGATCAGCCTCAACGGAGACTAGCCATCGGCGCAGGACAGGGTTATAATGGCAAAGTGTATGCGCAAGCACAGGTACACTATTCCCTCACACTTATAATACGCAGGCGCAGGACCAACAGCTTTACGTGCTTTCCGAGGCAGAGGGGTGAGACACCGCCAACTCCCTGACTACGGGCAGCTAATGATAATTTCTTGACGGAAAAACTCAATACTTGATTTTTTGGCCCGATTTCCGGTAAAATTGGTCTGCGTTTCTCTACACTCACCATGCGTAACACTCACCAGCGTAATACTGCTGTGTTAGCAGTATTGCGCTGGTATTCTGTGAGAGCGTGGTCCTACCCCGGTCGAGCCGACACATTCTTGCCACAACCAATAAATAACTGCAGCGTGGCTCTACCACGTATAAACCACGTTAAAAACAAATATGTAAAAATGACCTCACCTTGCAGCATCGAACGGTATGCGGTGTCGGTGATGGCGAACACGTGTGGCGGCACCTCGTGCCGCTTGATGCCTTTGTAGCGCTCCATGATCTTCTCCGTGTAGATCGGCAGCTTCTTGTACGGGTTCACCACCACGCAGAAGAGCCCCGAATATGTCTGCAATCAATTGGGTAATGTTAGTTAGGTATATATATATAGTTAAATAAAAATTTAATTTAATAAAACTAATTATAAATATGTATTCTATCGTATTTAATTTTAACATCCTACGTTGGGAGGGGGGGGTGGGTGTTTTGAATAGGTTTTTGAGGGATAATATTTGTAGGTTTTTTGGGGCGTGGCTATCAGCCCCACCACACATTGCTGAGCCACTGCTCCACGGAGCCGTCAAATGCTATAAGCAGCTGTGGTAAATTTGTTTTAAAAGTATTCTCACGGATCAACAACAGATGAAACGTTCCCCGGGGACTCGTAGGTACTCTAAGCCTATTAATTAGCAGGCACTACGCTTCATTACTGTCGTCGACCCGATGCGCCTGTTGACAGTTGATTGGAACTCGACACGGACTGTTCTCCGCAGCTATAAATGAAGTTGTGACGACTGTGGTGGTGCCATCGCTTTCACGTCAACTAACAAAATTAATAGAATCTTACGTTACACACTTATATCACGTTCTGTCTCGTTAGTCTAGTGGTTGTAGTAATGCGACCGCTAATCATGAGGTTTCGAATCCTGGGTCGGGCCAAAAATATCAATTATTGAGTTTTTACTTTAAATTCTCAGTAGCTGCCCGGGGTCAGAATGTTGGCGGTGTCTCACCCCCGTACCTCGGAAAGCACGCAAAGCCGTTGTTCTTGCGCTTGGTCTCTCTCCGGTCGTGTCGGTTTACCGTCCCATCGGATTATGAGAGTGAGGTAATAGAGAATGTACCTGTGATTGCGCATACACTTAGGCACTATAATCCCGTCCTTTGAGGCAGGCCGCCAAGCCGAACCGAAATTCGGTCTGGAGGGCATTATATCACGTTTATTAGCTCCTTTTTCTAACGCACAATGACGGGAAAGAGAAAATAAAGGCACTGTTCATTCCACAATTTTAAAGAGTCTCTAGAGTTTTTTACTAAGTTTACTCTTTCATATTTGTCTAGGGCTCCGTCTTGATAGGTTTTACTCTCTTTTTTATTTCTGCCACTAAATAACAGTAGAAGAGGAGAACCAGTATAAAATTACAAGCTGTGAGGCATTTCATCTTACAATTCAGTTACAAGATAAATAATCATAGGTACCGCAAAAGTGACAATGCCTGCTTTTGTTTGAAGTTGGTACAAGCACGCGTGGACTGTAAGTTAGATAGTAAAGTAAACGTGATTCAATTTTATTTAAAAAATCTATATATTTATACATTTATTATTAATATTTTTTATATTTATAAACTTTAAATTAATTGCGATTCCTTGGTAAATTTTTTATTTAAAAAAAACATTTATTCGATAAGTGGTTAAAATCTAATGTTTCCTAAATGTCGTAATCAGTGCCGATTACGACATTTAGGAAACACAGTGTTAACAGCACTGCTAGCGTACTTTTTTCTTAAATTGGTAACAAAGCTTTAAATAAACGTATTTTTAAGGCAATAATTCTCTGGTTTCGTACGGAGAAAACAACGCAAAAAAAAACAGAATAGAAAACCTGTGACGTTATATTTAAAAAATGTACCATTAGATATTTTTTAATTCTCTAATACGGTATGTTCATTTAATATCTAAACAAATATTTAACAATAATTATGAATATAAATAAGATAGAGAATTCAATTTCACTATCTCAGTACAAGTCCCGCGGAGGCAAAGATCCAGGTCAAGAATATACCAATAAATTGTCTATAACATTATATTACAAACAACCAATTAACCGACGGAACATTACGGCAAGTCAGTTGTAGTGATTGTTTATACTGTAACTACGACCTAGATGATATACTGCGTCTTAATGCACTGGGCCTATTTTCTGATAAGCTGCAGAGATATTTTAGTCTTAAAGGCAAAAATCTAATTGGTAAACATAATAAAATGGACCACTAGTCCTTACGTGTCCACGCTCTCACAGAATACCACCGTAAAATAGCCGTTTAATGCTGCTGTGTATCGTATGGCGTATGGTGAGTTCGGAGAACCGGAGATACTTTTTACTAGAAGCGAGGTACCTATTTCATCTTAGACTTCATCGACATTTTGATTCTCAGTCTAGAATAGATGTAGACATCTATGGGCTCAGCATCCACTTACCATCAGGTGGACTGTGTGTTCATTTGTCAGCCTTATTATATATAACAAAAATCTAATGGTAAGTGGCTACTATGCCACAATGACATATTATGCAACGTCAAATAAGGAAGACATGAGTTATTGCCCGAGCTCTAATATGGAATGCCTTACAGCTTGTATTTAAATGGCCTTTCTTAGTTTCAATCTCCATATATATATTTAAAAATTAAATTGGCTGGACTAATTTTGATGAATTTTTTTATGTGTGTTTAAGTGGGTCCTTCGATGGTTTGGATTCAAAATTGGATCCGTTAAAATGACCCGTGCTAAACCGGGCAGGATCGCTAGTCACGTATAAAAATGAAAAAAATATTAGAAGCGCTATGTATACTAATAGATATTAAATACGTAGAAATAATTAATGGATATTTTAATGTAATGCAAACTATATGCAACATATTTTACATTAAAACGCAGTAAAGATCTTAGTCGGCGACTTTAAAGACCGCCGCAAGACGGCGGTTCTTATCCGCGCCCCGCTGATAAAGGGGCGGCGATAATCTGAATTAATTTGCATTTGACCCGTCACCCGACGTCTGTGCACTAAGAGTTTTAACATACATGTTTGTAATCAATCTGAGACATACACGTAATTAAAGTAGAGATAATTTTCAAATAGCATATGTATTACAGATAATTTTACTGTAATCGCCATAGATTTTTTTATTTATAAACAAAGGGCTTTGTCGCTGATCTCATTATGACGCCCTAGTAGTAACAACAAAATAATATGTTATCTAATTACTAATAAATAACCTATAAATTCGCTGTGTATATATATTATATATATATATATATATATTTTTTCGTCATTCATCATCATCATTACAGCCCCTTGACAAGTCCACTGCTGAACATAGGCCGCCCCCAAGTAATGCCACAAAGCACGGTCCTGAGCCACCTGCATCCATCGACTTCCTGCATGTCTTACCAGGTCGTCACTCCATCTAGTGGGGGGTCGCCCTACACTACGCCTACCGGTACGAAGCCATTGAGGTCATTGAGCATAGTGCTTAGGTTCTACAGCGATTCTGCCATAAGATGTTAATACCGTATCCTTTCCAGTCCAGTAGCTTGAAAACGTCTTTCAACGCAGCGGTGAAGAGTTTCGGGGATATAACATCACCCTGTCTTACACTTCTTTGTAGTTGGATAGGTTTCGAACTCTGGTTCTGTACTCGGATAGCCATCGTAGCCCTACTGTACAAACACTTTAGCACTTCGATATACCGACAGTCAACTTGGCACCGCTGAAGGGACTGTAGCACGGCCCAAATTTCGACGGAATCAAAGGCTTTCTCATAGTCCACATATGCCAGGCAAAGTGGCAGATTGTACTCTTCGGTCTTCTGTACAATCTGCCGCAGGGTATGTATGTGGTCTATGGTACTGAAACCTTTTCGGAAACCGGCTTGTTCGGGAGTCTGGAAGTCGTCGAGTCTGCGTTGGAGAGATTCGTAATGAGTCTCGAAAACAGCACGTAGACGCGGTTCAGAAGGAAAATCGGTCTGTAGTTCTTCAAGAGAGCGTTGTCGCTTTTCTTAAAGAACAAGACCACCGCGCTTCTGCTCCACGCCTCCGGAGTAGTGCCACCATGGAGGACGGAATTGAAGAGCTTCTGAAGGACTTCTAGTACCGGTGTTCCACCCGCTTTCAGAAGCTCCGCTGTAATTCCATCCTCGCCCGGGGCCTTGCCGTTTTTAAGGTGGTGGAGAGCCATTCTAATCTCGCTCAGACTGACGTCCGGGATATCATCGGAATAGTGTCGGATAAGACTTGCTCTTGGACAGTGGCGAAGCTAGAGCTCCAAGCTAGGGCAAGCCTAAGATATAAATTGATAAAAATATAGATTGTTGTTTTTAGCAGTTTTATAAAAATACACCAATCTTGATCTGTCTCACACTTCAGTTTCATATTCAGTGCTGTCAAGGACGTGTTTAACAAAGCACACAGAAGGAATACCACTGCTAGATAGATTGTATTACATATCAGCAATTGTATAGCTTCGGTGGCTTTGAAGAAAGCCGTTTGGGTTTGTTTAAGCGAGAGAGAGAAAAAAAATATTTACATCCAATACAATACATGAACAAAAGTAAAACACGAACAAAGTACAAACAAACTATGTGCAAAATTAAAAAAAAATTACATACATTCTAATGGATAAGAGATAAGATAAGATAAATGGAATCGGAACTGTTTTTAATTGCGATAATTGATAAGTCTGAAATACACTCTTAACCTTGTGTTATCAAAACAAAGTTTAAAGATTTCCTCTCCGATTATCACTTTAACACACTTCAATTCATCACAAGGAACACTATTATACTCCATTCTCATTAAAAATCTTTAAAAAAACATAAATTTCGAACTCGTAATATTAAATCGCTTAAGATAAGCACACAGAGTAAATAAACATTGAAACGTGAAATGAACTTGCAAACGTATTGTCCGCGCGCCTCCGCTTTTAACAAATTTATTCCCAAAAGCGTGGCTTTAAATCTCTATACTAATTGCTATATATACAATCGTAGTTATATTTCATTATAGAATATTTTGCCATAGGTTAGAAAGAGAGCGATCGTCTTCTCGAAAGCCCCGTAAAAAGCCCATGCGAGCGAGGGAGACAACTGTTAGCTCTATTAAAACTCATTTTTTATGACAGCAGCAGTATCGCTAAGGAAATACGAGGTCATCGGTCGACATGTGTCGAACGGTGGAGTGCGCGGGAAATTTGAAATAGCTTGAAACATTTTACGAGTTATTTTATTAGTTGATATTATTGATTGATTCAGGTTTAATAAGGCAAGCCCGGCTTTTCGGCTTTAATGGAAG